CCCCCTTATATAGATAGGAAATCCTCCATGATCACTAATACAAAAAGAAAGTCCTTGGCGTCGCGCGCAGCCGCGATCCTTCCGTCATGTTCCGCCAGGTTCCGTCGCGCGGCAACCTATCCCAATCATAATACAAAGGAAATCCTACAATGCAACCAACGAAACCACAGCCGATATATGCAACCAAAAGTCCAATGTTCCTCCACGTCCAGTACACCGGGTGGCCGTGACACCGGGCGTGGATAGGCTTTGTTGGCTGAACTCTTCCTTGGATCCTTTGAAATCCTGAGCTGCCTGATCTCTTGCTAGCTGTCTTCCTAGATCATTGATCACAAATCCGTCTTTTGGGCCTGTCGCTTGGCCTGGTCTCTTAGGCTTCGTTAGCCCTTCTCTGGAGACCTGTTTCCCACTGCGCGTCGTGAGAGGGTCCATGGTGTAGGTGGGGTAGGCGGGCCACTGCTGGGCTCTTCCGCCTTCGTGCTAGCTTTGCTGGGTTGTGCCTGTTGATCCGTGATCTTACACACAAGTTTCTAACCACTTGCTGAGGTTAAAAAAATGTAACGTGTTCGCACCGGGGTGCTAATCACGCTTCCGGGTACAATAGGAGTAGCGCACAAGTTGATCTACAACCTATGGGCGTACTGCGCTAAGGGAGGCTTCGAGAGAAAGATATAAGGAATAGGGACTTGAAGAGGTAACCATTCAACCAAGTATATTAGAAATACTCTGTCCGTCGAAGTCTGCCGTTCCTCTAAGGAATTCAGCGGTCTTTAAATACAAGCTTCGTCCATGTCCTGCATGGACGGATTTCCAAACCATCCATAAGCAAACCACAAAACAAACTAAGTATCAAAGGATACTCGAAACCACACAAGTAAAACACACTAAGTATCAAAGGATACTCGAAACCACAAGTAAAACAAACTAAGTATCAAAGGATACTCAAAACCACAAGTAAAACAAACTAAGTATCAAAGGATACTCAAAACCACAAGTAAAACAAACTAAGTATCAAAGGATACTCAAAACCACAAGTAAAACAAACTAAGTATCAAAGGATACTCAAAACCACAAGTAAAACAAACTAAGTATCAAAGGATACTTGAAACCACAAGTAAAACAAAACATAAAACAAATCCTTGAACCGAACGGACTGAAATCCAGTTCCAGTTACATAAAGATTATACGAGAACTCTCCTACCCTGACACAATCAACATCCTCTCGAGAGACTTTAATTGAGATAAGCCTGAGCTTAACGATATTAAGTTTTACTATTTACTTTTATTCTTTACACTTTTGCAAGAGCTGTGTTCGAGAGATTTGAAGTTTGGTGCAGTCGCATCCTGAGGAACTATCTACCTCAGGGAGCTCCTGTTACAATCTAGTATATACAGATATAAAAAGCGCGTGTCCAGACAGAATAGGTCTGAGTGCACCTATCCAGATTACGAGTATATATTTACTACTTCCAGAGAGTCTGACGCACAGGATGTACAAGATGCAAAAGGAATTTTTTACTGATATATCAATTGTTATTATATAATAAACAATCCCAATCTTTTCCAGAATTCTTCTGAAAACACTTCCAATAGAAGATAGGATAATAGTATTCCAAAAATATGATAAGTATGTCTATAGTGATACGAAACTGGTCTCCATGGTAGGGTAACATGATGTCCTTAGATAGGATGACTTCACCTGGTCTTCTAACCTAAACCTAGGCTGATATAGACATAGTCACATTATTACTACTACTTAAATACATCTATTGCTTAAGTCCCTTCTGTTTATAGAAATACCCAGACCATCAGATATCTCTCAAATGTGCTCTGGCATGTCTGTCTAGTCTACCATTGACTTCCTAGTCTCATATATGCATATAGACTTAGGTTGTCATAGCTTTACAATATACAGTCATTATGTTTACATAGGGCTTTATTGCCTAGGGCCTCTCTATGGGCCTAACTGTATCACTGATATACTTAATAACTACTCTTTAGGGTACTACTCTGAAGAGACTTTACAGTTTTTTTCTTTCTTAGAGATAATACTAAAGGGTTTACTTCTCTCTCCTGCCTGTTCTATGGAGGATGATTGTTCCTATATAGGAGAGTAGGTGTGGTTAGGCCCATACCAAAGAGTCTTGGAGCAGTGGTTTTGTTCTCTAAAATACTAAGGGTATTGGCTATTTTGTTGCCTTGGAATTAAGACTCTTTGTATGGTGCGTGCCCTTCAAAACGTACACCAGAAATTAGATAGTTTTCAAATTCTGTTGCATCAACAACCACTCCTGTAATCTAAAAAAAAAACCCAGGCAATACAGAACAGAGGTCAGAGAATAACACCTGGGTTTTTTATTTAGATTACAGGAGTGGTTGTTGATGCAACAGAATTTGAAATTTTGTATTTTTGATGGAAAAGTCTGAAAGGTGTTACATCAGCCACACTTCAAAATGCTGAGTAATCAAATTCTTGGTCTTGCAAATAGAGGTTTTCTTATTGTAACCTAATTTTATACTTAATATGTACCCTATACCTATCTCATAATCCAAAAATCACTTCCTTGCCATAATAATAATTCTGATTACCCAGTATGATATGATATGATATCAGAGTAGTGGTCCATAATAATGTTACAAAATCATAGGCATGTTACAAACTATCTAGGCCTGAAGTGAAAAATACATAATAGAGACTGTCTAATACAATCCTCACACTAAAAGCAGTCTTGATAACCCAAACCCTTTAATATAAATCTTAATTTTTCTTTACTAGTTATTTACATAATCAGGTCTTGGCAGTAATTTTACACAGCCACATGTAACACCTGTATTTCAGCCTCGTGTACGTTTTGAAGGGCACACACCATATGCTATTGCATAAGCTCTATTTAGATTTTTGAGCTATAATTAATAAATAAACAGTTATTTGACAGGATACTACTTTCAAAAACAAAATTTAACAGAATGCTACTATAAAAAAAATTGATAGAATGCCATCTACCATATGCATTTCAACCTAATATTTTCTATACAGTATATTCCACCTCTAATACTATAGGCAAAATATAGAGTGAGATATATTAAATCAAAACAGAAGTAATTATTTAATAGTATGCTTCTCTAGAGCTCAAAATTTAACTGAATGCTCTTGTGAAAAAGAAAAAAAAGCTTGATATAATACCCCTCTATATATCAACTGGAAGATGTAGGAAAAGATAATATAGAAGAAGAATCTGGAGTATAGACTCTACTACATATTTGTTTCTCTTTCAAGTAATAACTATTTTGAGTCTAGCGATTTCTTTCTATCTTCAGCTTTTCTTAAATAATGAGTATTAGTCCTCTACTTTCATTTACCACCATTATTTCTTCTCCAATAGTCTCTTTATAACTTTATCACTATATCAACTTAAGGCTCCTAAAGTATTCTCTAACTTTAATCCTTAACTATACTAACCAGTACATTATAATAAAACTTGATAATAAAAATTAAGAAATCAGACCATATAACTATTATAATATTGTGAAATTTTGTTTGATACTAGATTACCTATTTTATGTTTAGATAATATGGAACAAAGAAGCAGAATAGGCTATAATAGTTGATTATTATATTCTAATATATCCATAATCCTATGTTTAGTACTTGCTTTTATATATTGTTGTAATATATTTACTTTTATCACTTGATACATTCTACTCTATATTCAACATATATTATTGGAGGTAGAATAAACTGTATAGAAAAGATTTGGTAGAACATAGGTTGGTGGTATTCTATCAACCTTTTTTTTTTACAGTAGCATTCTGTCAAATTTGGGTTTGAAGAGGAGTATTCTGTCAAATAACCAATAAACAAATGAATTATAAAAATAAAAATAAAAACCACTCCCACAGCCTGCCAAATGGCATTATTACTTTAAGTTCAGTGATACAAACATCTCTCGCAAAAGAACATAGTGCAAAGTATTAGTTAGACAAGGAGCAAGCGAAAATGCCAAAAACTAGCCCCACGCGGGGGTCGAACCCGCAACCTTGAGATTAAGAGTCTCACGCTCTACCGATTGAGCTAGCGAGGCAGTTACCTACAATACGATTTCGGGTTTAATTATTTCATTAAGTGTCAGTATGCTTGGACTTGAGGGTCATATCACTCACTGTACCTCAACTGCTCCAAAAGTTACACTCCGAAAAGACCGATAACTCAAAGAAACACTCCCGCCCTAAAGTTTCCGTCAAGTTCTGCTAGCCTCCTTCTATGGCCGTAACCTTCCTTGCTGTTTTGCATTCCAACAGTGGTTATTATCTAATCACCAGCTCACGTGATGTGACTTCGTTTTTTCCGAGAGTGCAAGGCGCGCACAAAGACTCATCGTCCACAATACTGGTGCAGTCAGCAACCCAAAGGTACACAACGACAACCACACCGACAACCCCACCCCCATTACCAACAGACAGGCGATAATCAGCAAAATGAAGGTGTGTCACAAATCGTCCCTGTGTACGAGTTTCCACGAGCCGTCCTTTATCTGTTTTGGGGGGGGGAAGGAAGCGAGATGGAATTCTTTTTTTCGGTCGGAGGGAACGGAAGGGGAAACGCTGACTTAATTACTTTCTTCTCCTTTTCTCGCCCTCTAGGCCGAACTTGATTCCTTCAGCGGAGCCAAAATCTTCCCTAGCAAGGGGAAACTATATGTCCGTGGCGACAGCAAAGTTTTCCGCTTCGTCAACGGTAAATCCGAGTCGTTGTTTCTCCAGCGCAAGAATCCCCGCAGAATTGCCTGGACAGTTCTCTTCAGACGAAAGCATAAGAAGGGTATCTCCGAGGTACGCTATTTCCTTTCCCATATACATACTCTACGGGTTCTGTGAAAGCTAGGTATTAACACTTATCGGGGAGTTCAGGAAGTCGCCAAGAAGAGGTCTCGCAAGACCGTGAAGCACCAGCGTGCTATTGTCGGTGCTTCTCTCGATGTCATTAAGGAGCGCCGTTCTATGCGCCCCGAGGTCCGCCAGGCTGCCCGTGCCCAGGCTATCAAGGACGGGAAGGAAAAGAAGGCAGCGGCAGAATCCAAGAAGAAGGCAGAGAAGGCAAAGTCTGCTGCGGGAGCCGCTCGTGGAAACGCACAGAAGGTGTCCAAACAAGGTGCTAAGGGGGCTGCTCCGAAGGTCCAGGCCAGAACCCGCTAAATTCAAATAAATCCATTGAAGGGCTCTCTCGGTTTGGGGTTTTCTTTTCACTTTCTTCCCTCTTAGCAGCTAGTATATTACTTTTTTCTTTCCTCCCTAAAAACTGGATTTGCGTTTTGACGTTGGGTATTCAAATGGACGGGGGAAATCTAGTATATTAGAGGTGATTTCGGACGTCGGCTTTTCTCGTGACTTTGACTCTTTGGCTATTCTAACTAGTGCGACCACTTTATAAATATGGGACATTCAGTTGCGCCGTCAGGAACCAGTTCTCGATGCGCGTACACCAGTGTTCATACTAAAACTCTGAGCAACCCCGGGGCCCCCCGTCTTTCAAACCCTCTATTTACCGGTACAGAAATAGGAAATCTCAACACCGCTTCCTCCACGTGCAATGCGGAATAAACCGGGGAACAACGTCAATGATGAACAGCATAAACCCCACTGCCCAAACGACTTATTTCCCTTCATAGTAGTGCGCCTATCAAAATTAGTCCTGGAAGATAGGAGGGCAATAAGCAAGAGCGACCTCTCTGATAGCGACATACCATCTGGACCCCCGCGAGCTTGAAACCACACTTCTCATAGAAGCCCTGATTTTTTTCTGAGCAATCAAGGATAGATTTGTAACAGCCGACCTGCTGAGCGATAGCATCCAATGCTTGGATAATTCTCAACCCAAGCTTTTTCCCCTGCTGGTCAGCCGCCACAGCAATGTCTTCGATATGGCCCACAGCAGCACAATTCCTGATACTATCCACCTCATCTCCGTTAGAAAGAGCCCGCGTGTGTGAATGAAGAGAAACTTGGAGAACAAGGGGGGATAACAACAATTTCTTCTCAATAATCAAGCTTCCCACAGCAACCACCTTCCCCAGATCGTTCTCTATGACGATAACGAAATACTCGTCGTTTCTGGCGGCCATCCAGTCGTAGCGAGCTGACCAGGTCTCGAAGGATATATCGCCGACCTTCGTGAGAATCGTCAGGACCGAGAGGAACTCCGCATGATCGGACTTTTGGAGTGGACGGAGAGTGTAGCCTTTGGGCAATTCCGATGCTACAGATGGGGAGATCAGATCCTTAGCGAAAAGATAGGTTGACATTGTCCTTTTAGGAGAGGTATACGAAGTGGGAGATTTGCTGGGTGTTATCTTCCTCTTTTCCTTTTTTTTGTACAGCAGCTAGCGGGTCAGGGTGAGTAGGATAAATGGGAGAAGAAGGTTCGAGGCGCTTGAGCACTGGAGCTGAGAAAGTTGACATCGGAGGAGGTGGGGTTGAGGCGGGATGTCGAGAGCCAAGAGGCTAGCACATCGACGCTTTCGCTCGAATACCCGAGACATTGCGGCTTGACGGGCTGCGCGCGATGGATGTTTCGTGACGGGAAAAAATCACATGAAGAGGGAAATTTACCCCCGTATTCAAAAAAATTTCACGTCCACACTGCGCGAGCACTGGTGGGTACTGCCATCCTCCTGCAGTCTACGGATCCCTTGCCGGGGAACTCCAGTGGTCAGCCGGCGGTTCACTAGAAATCACAGGAGAATAAGCTACAAGGAACTTAAAATAGCTCTGATGCTCGTCGCTCTGTGCAGACGTAGGGTGTTATCTCAGGATTCACTGCTTTCCACAGATTAGGTATCAGATCCAAGGGTCAAGCTTATTTCCCAAACTTGCTCAACAGTCTAAATAGCTCATAAGCCCCATATTTTTCCATACCACGAGAACCATTCCCCGCGCTAGTATCTCGCCCCCAAGAAGACCCCCTAAAAAGTCAATCTTCAGAACTCCCGGCCCGTACCCCTCCCCCTCACATCCTCCCCACCAGCATTCCCGTGCTAATGGTTATATCAGGAATCCTCAAAAAGTCTCTCGCATACACCCCGAACCCCATACGTCGTGATCACGACAAGTTTGTCGGCTGTGTGGGTGGGGCCGTCCCAAGAAATTGGGCCGCGAGGGTGGCCATACACTCCAAAAAGAGTGTTCGCTTTTGTCGATAATATGATCGCAATTCAGATCGATTCTCGCCGCCTCCAACATCTCTCCCATCCACTACGCTCCTAGCAGTATAAGAACGCGTGCCTGAAGAGTTATCCGGAAATGCAGTTTTAATATGAGTTCTACAACAAAAGCGGTGCGTAGCAGAGATGGTATGGGCTAGACTAGACGCTCGCCCAAGACGGGAAGATGCGAAAAGAAAAAAAGGTTGATCTCTCTTGTTCTTATAGCACCCGTTTCTGGGTGGGCTTGCGTTGCGGAAGACTGCAAACCAAACTAACGAACCCCATACCAGGAACAAGAACATGTCCGGAAACAGCCTCAAGATCTCTGAAAATGGGACGTGGATCAAAGATGGTGTTGATGTGAGCACCGTAGACACCCCGAAATTGAAGAATTTACCTGGATTGATATCATACCTTCTTCTGAATTAAGCTGCTTATACTACGCTCGCGATTAAGAGATAGGCTGCTGTCCAATCGACATGCTCCCAAAGGCTCGGAAGGGAGGGTATCATAGCAGCCTTGGAAAGCTGCATCCGCGTTTTGTTTCCCTGGCTGAATGATATCCTTTGTCCCGGCACAACCCCTTAAACAAAGGGTGCCATCAATGCCATAATATTTACTATCCGGATCCGCAAAAGAATAATTCTGATGTGGGCCCAAGAGCTAACAGCTGATCCCGGATTTCGGGCAGCTGGAACCGTCCCCGCCCACTAGGAAATGGTCGCCGCCGAGTATAATCTACCTGTAGAGCGGTAGCAGTGGGGTGTTGTTTACCAGATTCCAGCACCCCATGAGTGGGGGGGTACGACGAGAGGAGCAATTGAGAGCTACAAAAAAATAGTTGAATAGAGGTTGTTGTTTATCCAAGAGTTTGTATTTATGAATTCAAGTCATGTGATATGTGGTGGATTTTGAAGTACTCAACAAGCCTCACCTGTTAGCTCTATAGATTAATCTTTAAACTCCCTTAGATTTTTTCACAACAATAACATTATTATTACTGAGGATAGATCTTCCTATATTATACCTATTATCCCACTTAAATTACAAGTGTTAGAAAAGATAAAAAAAAAAAAGGACTGAAAAACTATTCTTCCACTAAAAATAGCCACCCTGTCTAGCTCATTACATTCTATCCTACCCTACCCATCACTGTTCTTCCCCTTTTGGAAAATGCTCCTTTCCCCTTCTGGCCACCCACCCATTTAAGCTAATTTTTTCCTTTTATCCTGCTCTCTTCATCTTAAGAAGAATCAATCCTCCACACTCAGCTTTCCTCACTTTTTCCTTCCCACCCCCCCTGCTCTCTGACTTCCAATTTGCAACCTCCACTCCCCCCCCCACATCCTTCCATCCAGTCTCTACTTCCTCTTTTCCCAACTCATAAATTTAATTTAATTCCAACCTCTTAGAAATTTCAGCTCCCATCCAAAAAATAATTTTGTGTAACCAACAACCGTTACAACGAGCTTATTTATCGGCAATGCCGCCTCGACTTGAATCTGTCGCAGAAGCCGACTCTGATAACGATTTCAGCGTTGAGGGGTCTGACTCCGAGGGAACTCCGGATACCTCGCTCACTTACAACCCGGGCGAGATTCTTAACGAAGCAGATTGGCAGAGGAGAAGCATCAGTGATCTTTGTCGTATGCTATTTTTTTTCCCCACCCTTTAGCTCATGCCCGTACTAATATTACTCTTTTTAGTTCTGATCGGAACCGAATATCTTGACACCAATCCAAGTTACCAACGCGATGTTGTCTGGACTCCTGAGCGTATGAGTAAGCTCATTCAATCAGTATTGGGTATGCAATCACCCCACAAAAATAAATATGCGGATATTCAAGGCTCGATTGAATAATTATCTTTATTTTAAATGTTTACTAAACCCGTCCCTGTCTTACAGCAAACTTCTACATTCCACCAGTAATTTTCAACGTTATCAAGTTTACAGAAGACGGGAAAGAGAGATATCGTCGCATTTGTATCGATGGCAAACAGCGACTTACATCTATCAAGCGCTTCGTTGAGGGCAGAATTCCTGTTTTCGACAATAAAAACCAAAAATGGTAAGTCTCTACACTTGCAACTGAAATACTTCATAAATATACCTATCGTCGGTACTAATTTCTATATCGGCTGGTAGGTTTTTCGACGATCTCAGTACTGGCAAATCTTCGAAGAATATCTTATCCGAGGATATTAAGGCCCGCTTTCTTCAAACTGACATACTCTGTGTCGAGTACGATTCACTCGGCCCGGAGCAAGAAGAAGACCTCTTTTCCAGGGTTCAATTAGGTGTGCCTCTAACACCAGCAGAAAAGCTTAGGGCTAGTACTGGTGAATGGCAAACACTGGCTTCAGAAATCGAAAAAGATTACGCAAACCTTATGAAATGTAGGAGTCTTTATACCAATCTGTCAAAGATATTACTACTAATACTAATATCACGTATTATAGCTGTCGACAACAAGCGTGCCCGGTGTTTCCAACTCATACTTCAAATATTTAAGCAGATGAGTTACTACGAGGAAGGAAAACCAGCCACGTTTAATTCTGGGCCCAGCGCGTTGAAAAAGTTTTGTCAGAACACATCCCTTTTAACACCCGAATTTAGATTGGAAGTTAGTCGAGTTTTCGACACCTACGCAGAGGTTTATGAGCAGTATCCGATGACTTTTCAGAACAACGGATACAAAATCGCTACCAAATATTCTCCAATTGAATTTGTTGCAGTGGCTATTCTAATCTACACTCATCCCGAGAGACAGCCCTTAAAGCTCATAAATGGAGATATTCTCGAATTAAGATCCTTTGTCAGACAATCCCGTCAAGACTTGCGTAGTAACAGCGCTACCTGGTCTGTCTTCATGAATTGGATCAGCAATGTTGAGGTTTATCGCGGGGGAATCAACACAGTTCGAGTTGGGCGCACAGTCGCGAATCCATTTACCGGTCCAGATGCGAACCGGCATGCAGGTCGAGTTTCACGTCGGCTTGCGGAGCCTGCTTCAGAGTCAGTCTCGGCTCCAGTGGCCGATATGAGCAACACAATTGTTGTTCAGCCGAGGGACACAGTGAACCCGACTTCAACTTTGATGAGATCTCCCCCCCGTATGCCTCGTATCGGGAACCTTGGGCCTGGTGAGTCATCGTCCTCCACCGGAACAAAACGCCTTCCTCCCCGTACGACAGGATTACAATTGCCATTTCCACCCACCTCCTCTTCTTCTATGGATAGGATACAGGGTCGTGCCGAGGCAGATGCTACTAGGCCGAGAAAACGTACCCGCGGTGAGGATGATAGCAACGGCGGGCGCCGTATCAAGGAAGAAAAGCTTAAGGAGCCAGAGCGTATCGGACCCTTTACCAACATTTAAGTTTCCTTCGTTCGCTTTCTTTCATTCATTTATGGTCCTACATGATTCTCATTCTTGTGTCCTAAAGGTGAAAACGGAGTTTTCATATTATTTTTTTCTCCAGTGCTGCACACCGCTTCCATGTTTTCTGCATTCACCTTATAGTTGTTACTGCAATAGGCTTCCGAAGGCATCTGCCGAGTATGTTATCTTGAGCTAAATAGAGATAACCATACAACGAGATAGTTAGCAATGATGATTTTACAGCAAACAGGAAAATGAACCTCCTTGAGAATAATTAAATGCAGTGAAACCAAGTGGAAGTTCCCAATTTTAATGTGTATTAGTGTTTATTGACCCCTAGATGAGGTTTGGACTCGCCGGATATAATAAAATCCTTTTCCCCACTAACCAGTTATGAATCTTCTTGATAAGTTGAAGATTGGAACTATAGCAGTACGCCACCCGGGGTTTCAGAAAAACACACCTCACTGAAGTCCATTTGGATTCTCAATTCCATTCATATTAAAAAAAATATTCAACGTTTCAGCGGGATGGAAGGTATGTCCCCCCGGAGATGAGCGCTTGGACCCAACTACTCCAGAAACCTCGCTCCCTGGCCCGCCCAAAGCCTGAAGTCCCAGGTTAGGATCAAGCCTCCAACAGGCCTGCGCTCTGTACCAAACAGAAACTATCCGGACACCAACTTTCATTGAGGGTACAGACCCAGCTATTTATATTATGCATTGGGTCGATCTCCCTTGAGCGTGCCATCCACACCAAGGCCCACCCTGACTTCCCCCCAAGCCACTGCTATACAAAGATACAGCAGTAGCAGTGGACAAGAGAAACAGAACCAATACGGAGGAAGACAATAAGGCCCGGTGTTACGAGAACTTGAACTACAAGAACACCAACTAGTCCTTATTGGAGTTTTAAGGGGAAACGAGTGAAAGACCTAACAAAGCATTCGAGTGCACAAAGAGAACTCTCTTATCAACAATAAGGAGTCGGTCGTGGTGGCACTAGTGTACTAGCTAGCGTACCTGTCCTTACTAGTTTATTGTATCAAATCGTATTACTTTCCCGTCCTCCGTTTCTAAGGTGATGTTCCATCCTCTTTCTTAAAAAAATACCTTTCTTTCAGCCTATCATACCCCGCTTCTGTTCGTTCCTTCAGCCTATTTCCCCCTCCCGGTCTTTTTTTCTTTCCCCCCTTCTCCCTCATGTCATCCACCTTCTTACTCGGACACGCATATACACATCCACACCTGTCTTATAAAAAAAATAAAAAACCTCAACTCATTCACCCCGAGATTCCCCATGCTTCCCTGATAAGTAAAGTATTTCTTAGTCCTCCCCAACACGCTGTCAACCTTCTCTCGACTAGAATCCGTTCGCTACCAGAACCCTGAGTGGAACTATAGATGTTGTCACAGCTCTCATTCCCCCATTTATCTTACCCTGACCCTACCTATCCCCCCAACTACCTCTCTACTCTCTCTCCCCGGTGCTCCATCCGTACCGGCATACAGGCATGTTGACCGGAAACCCGAAGAAGCTTGGAATACGTTCACCAATAAATAGCTGAGCTGCTTCCCTTCCGATTGCCTACCTTTGCAAAATCCTGTGACCAATAAACTAACCTATCACAGGACAGTCCGGGTCTGCTCTGTTGAACTGAAATAAAATAGGAAATTTCGAAACATGTATCCGAGTGATCGGGAATGATCGCATGGGGAAAAAAAACGGGCATCATGTGCTCAGACACAACGTATTCCACGCCGTCCAGCCAAATACCAGCCACTATTCAAATCTTAACCAGGGTTCAACCAATCATTTTAACCAAACTTGCAGATAGCTAGCTTTGAGGGGCTTTCGCTATGGCGTGGAATACATTAGTTTTTTTTTCTTCCCGTTTCAGAAGATACTTTGCTGGGGAAGTGAGAGCGGCCGAGATCTAAAGTGCATCAGATAGATAAATAATTTAGATAGATAGAAGGCAGGCTCGTTGTTGGCTCTTTCCTATTCCTCTGCAATATAACAAACTGTCCCAGCTTGATACAGGGAGAGAATTACCTCACGCTTGTCGCCCTGCTAACCAGATTTCGCCACCCATAATACCTCAACTCTGCGAATCTGTCCCAATAGTATATCAGAGAACATCTCAGTTCTTAATCACCGATTCCTAATCCCCTAACCCGTAATGCCCACCTTGGTATATATCCCTATGCACGACCCATCAGCAGCCAAACACGGAAGTCCGTACAAGTAGTTCTGTCATACCGATTAAAGTGTTTACGGCAATAGTGTCAATTGGCTGAGGTATGATATCATAAGAGCCCAGTACTTTATCCGCAAGACCCTGCTGGTATCCGAGTAATCCCTAATACTAACACTGCCATTGTCTTTTTTTTCCCAACGGTATCAGCAAGTGAGAAAGATGGAAGCCAATTTCGTAAGCACGTGTGACCATCAGAATAATTTGTTTTTTCCAATAAATCTCTTTGCATACCCTTAAGATCCGCTTATAAAGACAAAAAAATATATATATCAGTATCATTTTATCATACATTCGGCATGCCCAGCATTAAATAAGCTAAAACCCCTTTACTTAAGGATGACAAAAACCATTGATTACCCAAATCCTCCTACCCCTTCTACGATACTTCAAAAAAAAAAAAAAAAGGTAAAGCATTAAACATACAAAATTACAATCAAAAGAAAAGAAACAATCAAATGGGAACCTCGGAAATACTGGTTTTCAATAGCGATATAAGTCCTTGATTGTCGCAGGTTTCCAGAGCTAAGGTATATATATATACCTAGGTGAGAATATGTCAAAATCAGTGACGCTCAAAATGTTTTCTTTCCCCCCCCCCCCAATACTATCTAACGCTGACAAGTTATTACATTATTCGCCAATAAGATTGCCGGTCCATATAACTCGAGGTTATTCCGTTCACGCCCAGTATTTAAAGGATGCGTTATATGGCTCTTATGCAGGTTCTCCTCGACTACCTATGATACTCTTCCTTTCCTTTCTCACCTTGTCCTCTCGGAGGGTTTTACTCCAAGCTCTCTTTCAAACCCCGTCACAAGTTCATTATCCCCTGCAGTTAGTGATAGTACCGATTTCCCCCCCGTCAATGTACATATCAGCTAACAATATTAGTCTCAACCTAGAAGAAGCCGAGAATGGAACGTATCATCGCATGTGGTATCACGCAGCGAAATATGTGTGTTTTAGGGCACAAAAAATATACTATAAATACCCCCGCATATGTAGAGTTCCACTGCCACTTACGACAGTATCAAGCCAGTACGGTACCGCTTACCGCACCTCTAACTAAGAATTCAGCAACATGTATGATACTCGTATCATGGGAAAAACTCAGCACTTCACACAACAGAGTGGGATAATTCACTCTACCCCCAGCGCCTTCCCAACCCCAACCCCCCCCCCCCACGACGAAACCACCACGTATCTGCAAGCGGAGCAAATACTGACTGTGAGAGTAATACAATCTCACAGCTGTAAAGCATCAAATTCACCGAATCCGTCCTTGCATGGCTGGCCTATGCAGCCAGCGCGTGAATGCTACCGGTCTTGGCACATCCCCCCCCAGTACTCGAGTTCTCGTGATAACATCCCTGCAGCTCCCGATCCACTCGAACGCAACAAAAGCACTGAGGGGAGTCAGTTCTGGGCGGTACCGGTACCGGAATTCCGCCGGGAGGGGAGCCTTGGAGTGAGTGTAAGTGAAGTGGGTGGGCAGGCGCAGGAACGAGAATGCCAGGGAAGAAAGAAAGAAAAAAAAGAAAAACAGTATGAGCAAGAGCCAACAAAGTGGGTATGATCATTTACCGTACCGGTAAGGTAGGCTAAACGGAAAGGTTGGAAAGTTGGAAGAAGAAGAAGAAGAAGGCTACCGTACCACGAGCGGGAGGGAGGAAAGGGGGGGGGGGGGCCTACTGACGGTACATTTTACTTTATTTTTTTTATTTTTTTTTGTTCTACGCACGAAGGCAACTCTACGGGTTGAAATACCGGTATCCCTATCCCTATTATCATTATTATTATTACTCGTACCGTACTTTGAATATGGGCACTGTTGAAATACAGTAGTGGAAAACCGTGATAACACGACAGTACACCGCCACTATGAACACACACACTTACACACACAACCAGTTTAATCTGACGTCTTATTATTAGTATTTTGTTTTTTGTTTTTTCCCCCACCCCTCCCCCCCCGAGTCCCTTATCACTTTTACCCCATACTGTACGAGTACTCAAGTACTCGTACCGCACCGTACTCGAGTACCGTCCTTGGATTCACACTCACCTCAAACATTCTTTCCTTATTTCTTTTTCCGAACAAGGGTTCACACCGGTCCATTCCATTTCTTGGCACCTCTCTCCCACAATCGGTACTCGAGCACCGCACGAACATGCAAAAACCTGCAAGTCTGTCCTGCACTCGAGGTGGCGAGGTCAGGCCGCCCCCACGCTTCTCTCTTCGAGTACTGTACACTCCTTCATCCCTTACCTTCCTTCCCCATGGCCCTTGAAGGCTCCACCGAGACTGTAACTTAGAGTGCAAGTAAGTAACTCGTACGTAGCAAAGTTGAATCCAAAAAAAGTGGCGAGGCAACAAAAAAAAACCTGCATCCCATCTACCGACCGACCGCGACTCGAGTGAAGGCCGAAAGTTAATCTAACGGCGAGGATAAGGAAGGAAGGAATACCGGGAGCGGGAAGAGGAGGAGAGGGGGGGGGGTGAAGGGAGGGAAATAAACTTTTTTTCTTTTTCTTTTCAATTCTTGGGATAACCTTTCGGCTCCCCGCGTGATAGATAGATATTGACGAGGCGGTGGAATAAGGTAGACTACCGTATCGCACACGTCCCAGTCGTGACAGTATGTAGGAAACAAAATAGAACGGAACAAAGCAAAACAATAAAAAAAAAATGTTACGGTAATACCACGTACCTGATTGGTGGAAAATGGGGAAAATGGGAAAGGGGGGGGGTGTGTGAGGAGGAATAGAAGAGAAAGGGGAAAAGAAAAAAAAATCCCTATTTAGGCTGCCGGGGGGGTTTCCCTTCTTCTCCTCACTCCTTCACCAAATATCACTCGTTCCTTACCACCCAAAGCCTTTCACATTTACCGGTTACATATTTCTCTCGCCGAAAAACCTCATGATCCTCCAGAAAAAAAGTTTATATCCCCGTGATACGGTAAACTGTCACATATCGAGCATCAGGCAGGTGGTTGGTTGGTGGTGTCCCTCTTTATATAAATATATACCGTATCGTACCGGTATTTACTTGTACAAGTACCTGCTACCGAAGAGAGAAAAATAAATAAAAATAAAAATAAAAATGACACGGTGATGGTCATAACAAAAAAGCAACACACACATGGGAGCGACATTGTCAAAGAACCTATCATAATCAACATGTCCCACCACCCTCTTTGCACCCTTCCAGAGGATCGTGGGATCGCATTGGATCCTACAGTGGTCTTTCTTATTTTTTTTTTTTTTGTTTCTCTCCCTGGGCACCCGACACTCCCCTCACTTCCTCGCGTTGCGGTATGATACCGGTAGCTCTTGGAACCCCATCCCCTCCACTTCCTCCTTCCTCCTCCTCTCCCATTATAATCCCAATGTGCCCGAGTACATGTACAGTACTGCCGTAGCACTAGTAGGGTACGGGTACTTGTACAGTACCTGTACATCCAACTCACCAACCACGTGAGAACTACCGGTACTCGATCTATAATATCCATGCACACTACGTGCAACAATAATAAGGGGAATGCAGCAATTTCTCGCTTCGCAGCGGAGGGGTTTCCTTTCCTCTCCACGTTATTATGTACCGGTATGATATAAATGAATGAATGAACGTGGAAAGCCTACCGGCCGCCGCCACCACAAAACTCCCACCCAGCGTTTCATGGTGGAGCAGCTTATCGCAACCGCCTGCGATTTGGTGTGCGTTTCCCTCCTTTTCTGTAGGACATCGAGGGTTTAAAATAAAAAATGAAAAAAACGGTTACCCAAGAAATGATAGGCAGACTATATATGAACACTTTTTCCCAAAAGGCATAAAGAGGGAAGGGAAAGAAAAGTAAAAAGGAAGAAAAGAAGAAGAAAAAGCAATATTTATGCAGAATTGTACAAATGACGTGGTTGGACCGGTAGATTCCTGTGGTGGTGGGGGGGAGCGGAGAGGAAGGGGAGGGGGCTGGTGCCTCGCTGCTTGTTTGGAGCGAATGAATGAGCGAGCACTACCGGTACGGTACGGGAGATTCGATTGGATTCGAGGAAAAGAAGATGCAGAAGAAGTCATAAGAGAAGAGGCGGGACTTTCCCTTCTCGAGAGTGAAACACCTAACCCTAATACTCGCCTAGGAGAGGAGGGGGGGATGAAGGCTGAAATCAATCGGACTCTTAAGTGGAGGTTGCAAGATACACTGGATCCCCCCCCCTCCTTCCCTTCCCTTTCCCTTCCCTTCCTCCTCTAATTCATCTTCATCCTACGATCCAGAAACCACTGCTTACTTTTTTTCACACCTTTCTCCCCTCCAGACACCTACTATATATATATCGCCATCATGTCGGCACTAAGTGGCATAAACCTCCAGACGAAACACTGCAGTGGCCTAAAAATTTCAAGTTGAAGAGACCACAAATGCACTCAAATGCAAATCCCTCAGCAAAGCCTTAATTGCAACAACGAGCAACCCAGTCCAGGCAGCTAGGTATTATCATAGTGGTACTAAATCACAGCTGAACAACGACGCTCCCAAGAAAAACAAACCCCAACCAACCCCCCCCCCCCATCCCCCCGATAAGCAACATCGTAAATAAACAGCCCCTCCTTTACCAGTCTATCACCAAAGACAAGGGAAGATCTTCTTTCCTCACGTTTCTTTAGCCCTCCTGTGAAACAGCGGTCTCGAATCATGGTCTGAAGATGAATGGATGGATCAGCCTCCCCCTCGTGCACTGCCGGATTATCGTTCTACAGGCGGTAATATACTCGAGTATCGTATTGCATCCTCCGTAGCGCGGTGGGCCGATTGCCAAACCCCTAAACGCACCCCCATTTGAGACGCTCCAAGGCCCGTACTTTGTGGAATACGGAACTGTTGGATTGCCTGGGTGGTGTGTCTTCATGAGTCGATGCGTCATTCAATCCAAAACCCAGATCTGCTGGTTGAAGTCAGAGCTCATCGCCTCTAGGATATCTAATCCTCGTACACCCTAAGCAAAGCTACAGCACCCCAACAGCACCTTATAACTGCATTTTCACGTTGTTAATTGTCTCGAGACCCCATTTTCGTGCGAAAAAAAAAAGGGTTGGAATGACTGTGTCCAGCGGTAGGCGAGAGAGCGATATTCCTTACCAGTCAACCTTATACCCGAGCACAACGAGTCATGGGTGGGTTAAACTTGGCTACCGTGTGCATCACGGCAACGTAGGCGACGAAGGGGCTGAATGATGGTAGTATGAATCCCGACCAATCGAGGGCGTTACGGCCCGGTGCAAAGGAAGCCACACGGTACTCTCACTGAGCCTTCAACGATGATAACCCAAGTTCCGCCACTACAAGCCTCTAACGGCAACCGCAGGACTGCAACACGGTAATGACAAGAGTGCCCTATTAACTCTATCGTATAAGAAACCCGTCGGCTCGGGTCAACAATGACATACCGAGCCCTGTTCCCAAACGGCCCAACAGATTGGCAGAAGATAAGTTAGCCTCAGCAGGTAAATTATACAGAGGCACGATCTGTGGGCTGCGGTTGCAGTCCTCGAGTGTATGTTTGCTAGGCCACCAGGATCGAGTGCTAAGCTACCGCATGACACTACCGTGATACCGGTACAATAAGTTGGCCCTTGGTCCATTATCCCACTGGCATCACCGTGGCCAAATGCCAAGGGCAACTCCCAGCAATCCACGATGCGGCACGACCACAAGTTCAACACGAGCTAGTCCTCTCAGGAAACGGGCTTTGTCGATGGGGTCGTGCCCGGCAAAGTCATTGCCCAACCTAGCAGGTGCCGCCACAAGAAATGCTCAGATGTTGTCGTATCGAAGGATGGGGGTGCACATTGCGCGGGGCTGTACTGTTACTATCGGTACCTTGTACCCGGATTCCCTGTAAATGGAGGTTTTCCCATTACCCCGTGGAATAGCAGTTCACCACCCAAGTCAGCATCTTCAATAACCTTAGAACTGCGCACTTAGTTACTTATGCTCCCAAGCATTCCCAGTCACTCATCTCCTGACTAAGGCTTGGAAATTGGGCGTGGATTACCAACACCGGCATCCAGATTGTCAAATCACCAAGCAATCATCCCACAATGGACTTGTAGCATCACTCAATGCGCCCATCATCAGCCCTATGATCATTAGACCGGGGCGAGCCCCTCAGGTTACAGTGGGGGGAGATCGGAAGCGAACATCAGGCCGAAGAGCCCGAGAACCATGGCCAACCGCAGCCGACCATCCCCTCAATTACCGTATCCCAGCAAGACTGGAGTAGGGAATGGAGACTCCTTCCAGGTGGTGTAATCATGCTCGTTTAGCGTGTTCCGTGACCTAGGCTTTCCGAAAGATTATGCCCTGGATGAAGCACATGGATAACAGGGTGCAGATATGTTACCTTGAGCACGCCTGTCTGTGATTATGGTGCGTCAATGACAAGCCTCATTACTGAAGAGAGTACAGTACAAGCACTTATACCACAGCTCATCCAAGGCAGATATGATTTCAACAGAGATAGCCAATTCCTGGACATGACATGTCTCAGGAGCAGGAGACTGCTGTAACCTTCGGGTGAGGGAATCTGCGTTTGTGGGGGGTCCCACCAAGATAATCTGTAGAACAATCGAAGAAAGCTTATTAGTTTTCCTAGAGGATAGACGCTACAGCAACGGAACGCATGTACTCGTATATTCCACCATCGTGCTACGGCTAACATATCTCCAATGCCAACAACACCAATACTCGTGCGGCCAAGTTGAAGCTGGACACCTAGGATGGCAATTCCCATACAAAATGTCCAACTCCAACCAGTCGAGTGGAGGGGGGAAGGAATGTACGGTACCGGTGATCACAAACCCCACGGATCCCTTGCTGACACGAAGGAGTCGCTAAAAATGCGCGGCCGAAAATGCAAAATGCAAGACTGGTTCTGGGAAGAATCCACCCTGACACATCGATAAGGGACAACTTGGCGTATTGATACGGAGCAGTCACGGGGAGATAGCGAGTGGGTAAGGCATGAATGGGGGGAGTAAGAAGTGATAATATCATACGGCGAAAGAAAGCTTCCAAAAATGGGCGTGGGGCTAGAGAGTATGATACAACTTGTACCGTAGATGAAGTGTCGGACGGAATAAAGTTCAGGGTTCACTTATCCAAACCCAACACGAGATCGACCCTTCGGTTTCAACCATATTACTATTACCTCAGGAGTCCAGGAAAGAATACTGTAAGCCTTCTCGGATTATGAGTGCCCAACAGGGGAGACTGAATATTTCCCGCCGTACACCTTAAGCAATATTCATCTCTCGAGCAGAGTACGGTAGAGTGTGAGGATCACAGTGCGAAGCGGACATTTTATGGCCTTTTACACGCCTCCACGTCACTTTTCGGGGTGGAATGCCGGAGGGCCATAGTAAGTCATCTGTGTCTCAGGCGAACCGGGAATCCCGATTCAATGTCCTGTACTAGTACCGGTACTCGAGTATTGACCTTATCTGAGGCAGGATCAGATGCTCCATGCATAGATTCGTTCCTGATCTGTAAGGGGCAACAAAAATATGCATCCGGACTCGTGGTATGAATTGGTAAGCCTTCCTGCATTTATCGGTGTTTGTCCATCGGGATTCATAGTTTTCTCCCGAGTGCACTAGGAGCAAACGGCCACGGGGGTCCAGATATGAAAAATTTCGGCCTATGTACTCGAGTATTGCCCAATTTCTCTGAAAGGTGGGCAAGGAGCCCTAAGTGCACTTGAACGTGCATCTCACAATGCCGGCACTTGGCTCGGCGGGGCGATAGGTTTTGACTCCACGAAATTCTTGGTGCAGCACCGTAAGAAACTCTTGAAATTCATGATCTCCCCCAGCCCAGTAATCTCCGGATCCCAAGACAAAAGGTCCTGAGAAGAATCAGCGTTTTCTCGACACGGTGCAAGATCGGCCCACAGGATGTGTTTGACCTCATCAACCGATGTTCGCGATTCTCCCGACCTGTCAAACTAAACCTATCACGGGCCAACGGCCTGGTTTCCGGTGGATAATCTGATGATTACGGTATCAAGGCTTCCTCCGTGTCCACACCGTACATAGGAGCGGCGACCTTGCCGACAAACAACAATCGTGGCCATCGGACTTGCTGTCGGAGGGAATACGTCGTCCAGTCCCAGTTCCTACCGGAAAGATTAGGAGGCAGCCGGGGTGTCCCGGCCAGGCTACTCTCGACGTCCCACCCGCTTACTGGGGGGTTATCCTTCCTCCCTCTAGGTTCCCAATCCCCACACAACCACAACCCGTGATCATTTACACTGGATGCGGTGATATTTGCGGCGGGACCTTTCGCAAGTCGTACTGGCCCTCAATCTCCTTCACGCTGCTATGTCCACGGAACACGAGCGCAAAAGAATTTGACTTGGACGGGCGGACGAATACCCTAATTCTGAATACCCTAACCGCGCTTCGTCAGGGCTCCGAGACCCACAGCAGTGGGTTCCGGTCTCTTGTTTTTTTGTTTTTTGCAACACTTGCAGGCACTGTATGACTTTGAGTCGACCTTTGGTGGTAACTTTTGGCCGTGTAACCGCCGACGTATCTTCCAGCTAAAATTTACAGCTGAAGAACACGCCGTAGGAGGAAAGTCCAAGTGGTTTCTAATGATACAAATGTTAATATCTGTTCCCCTCCGGCTCTGGTCTTGTGTATAGATATTCTAATTACGAATAGAATGGTGGCAAGAATATCGTAATGTCAAAGATTTGTCGAGAGAGAAGTGACGATTCGAGGAGAAGCTCTGTAAGATTTCGGGACACAAGGCCGGCGAGACATCGAAGGCCTCCCACGGTGCTGCAAAGGGTCATACTACCGGTATGACCCTATCATCACGTACCCGTACCGCTAGGGCGTCCAGGACTTCCCCCTTCGGACTAAGGGGAGAAAATACAGCAAAAGGATCCCCTTTCAGCCCTCGGTTGGGGCAGATAAAAAGGAAAATGCAACAGACTTTACCAAGAGAGGCAACTCCAACGGCCTCGCGAGATTCTAAATTACTCCAGTTTTTTACGGTATGCTCGAGCGGTATCGAAACAGAGAGGAGCTCTTTAAAGCGATACGGCGGTGGTCATAGGATACGATAGGCAACGGGAAGTGGGACCAAGCCACAGGAAATCTGTTCCAAAACTTTCCTGAATGGTGCGGAGGTATCCGAAAACTTGAACTTGAGTTCCGTATCATGGTTCCAGCAAACAGAAAATAGCGCCGGCACGATACGGTACAGTACCGGTACCACCGATCAAAACGGAGGCCCTTGATAATGCCCAAGCATGCTATGAGTACGGGCAGTATGCCGCTTTAGGTGGAAGGGAGGAAGTGTTCCTGTTGCCGCCTGGATATCGTGTTGTGCTCGAGTACCGCACCATACGCTCTCCGATTTACCGAGTGCGCAGATTCCAGGCCAGGCGAACAGCACGCTGCTTAGCAAAAACCCAGCGCCAAATTAGCAGGAAACAGATTTCGGATGGGCTCTCGATACCGGCGTTAAGATGGATCGGTATCATGGCCATATATATTTAACTGATTACCATTTCGGATTCTAGGATTGGTCATTCGACAGTCCTGAACGCCGATACCGGTAACCCACCCCCTCTCTCACTCATACAAAAAAAGTAGCGCCCCGGCACAAACCTGTATGCCCGTCCGTTTCCTTCCAAAATACCTCCCTCTTACCGTTCCCAACGAATAAGTTACTCATTCCGTCATCAAAAAAACAAAAACGGAGTCGACAGAGTTAAAGGAAAGTCGGTTTCAAGTAGTTCTATCAAAAGATTTTCTCTAAAAACTTTGTCGTTGCTGTTTGGCTCATCCTTGGTTTGGTTTGGTCATCGTGTGGATTCCAGACTCCCGTCACCGTCAGGGCTTTTCCCGTCATCACCAGACCGCAGACCTGGGCCACCGGAATGGCCACCGCTGGACAGATGGTGATTGGTGAGTGGGCGTTATGAGGAAGCTATCATACGAGTAGCTGTGACCACACAGTTGCCGCCGCTCATTCGGGCGAAAAGCTGGAAAGCTTCTTACTTACCTCGGGTTTAGCTGTCCGGGGCGGGTGGTGTCTGGGTGGTCCCGGTGGCTGTTTAGCTTTACCATGTATCGTTTATCGGGAGGAAGAAACAAACGCCACAGAATATACTTGTACCGTAATAAGGAGTGGCGATTGAGCAACGTTCCGGGTTTAGGTTTTATTGATTTGATGCAGTGAGTCAACCGATAGCATTGCGCCTTATTAGCGAGTCATGGAATCGGTGACTTCTTTTTTTTTTCACTTGTTTTCTTATTCCATTGTCTCTCGCACAGGGTAAGGATTTTATTCTGGGTAAGGTTCCACGACTTGCCAGAGTGAACAGCCTAGAGACGACTCATGGCCGATGTCCCTCCCCTCGCCCGACGTTCCTAGACGAAACAAAAAATCTCTTTTGATGGTAAAACAACAATACGAATATTGAGGCTCTTGCTTATCATTGTGGCACTCTTGCCTTCACTTTCTATTGTTTTTCCTATTATTATTCTTGTTGATGTTACAACTCCACTGTCCGGGGCTCATTCGAACAAACTCGTCAACGAATGAGGCAGGACAAGTTCCCAGCAAGCTTCTGCGGAGGTTCTGGGAAATCAAGGCTGGAAAAAGGGTGAAATGAATAGCGCTCGAGCACCATACTGTACCCTTTCCTTTCCACCCTCCTTCCTCTCTCTTCCGGACAAGGGAGAGAGGTACGGCATCATCCATCTCTACAGTAGGGTTTTTTTTTTCTGTTGAAGAGTCAGAGTGGAGGCGAGAGGCAGAGATTGGTCACAGTAGGTTACACGGATCGCTGATTCGGTGTACAGGGATGACGGTGCAGCCCCAGTTGGTGAGCAGCAACGAGCCGGCAAAGTCCACAAGACAGTAGAGATCCCCAGTAGCAGCGGGCTGCAAATGAAACCGCTTTGTATGGTGAATATGACGCGAAGGGGGAATACGGAGGTATAGATTGCTGGAAACCCCTGTCTCAGGATGCAAGATACGGATAGGGGAAAGTTGCATAGAGGGAGGTTGAATATGAACCTCGGATGATGGGCCGGTGGAAGGTCTACAGAGGGCTTCGAAGAACGGGAATGGCAGAAGCCAGGCTGCAAATTTCACCGCCTGCCGGTACTGTACCGTACTCGTACACTTTAGTAAGATGGGGGGAGGAGGAGCAGAGAGGGTGGAGTGCTCGAGCACGGTCAGTGGAACGTTGGATTGGCCCAGGGACAAGCGGGAGGTGAGTGAGGATGGGTGAATGGGGGGAATTGTGAGCAAGTGTGGTGCGAGTGCGGTGCAAGTGTGTGTGTGTGGGCGTGGGTGTGTGGATAAGGGTCGGCTGGGTCGGTGGTTAGCCATGCTGATCGAGGATGGAGGGCATGGTAGGGTACTCGAGCACGAGCACTGTGGGAGAGAATAGGGTGAGAGTGTTCGCTGATGGAGATGGAGAGGCCTCTGCCATGGGAAGGGGAAGGAGGAGGGAGGGTTACTTACTCATCCACCCTTCGCAGTGGTTGGCCCGACTCGAAACTCGAAACCCCGAAACTGCTTCCTCCCATCCCCTCTCAAGACCGACCCAGATCAATTTACTGCTCTTCTCGTGCAAAGCATCACGCAATGAACAGGCCACAGCTCACCCGTTAGATTGACGACACCGTTCCTGTCCGTCACTCCACTCTCCACTCCGCTCTCCCACAATCCCATCTTGGACCGCACAGCTCCACACTCCGCACTCTCCGTTTCCCTTCCATCTCTCTCTCCCCCGTCCATCGTACGAGCAGGAGGAGTAGGGTACCTTTTTTGTTTTTGTTTTTATTTTTATTTTCATTTTTCAACCTACGAGTAATCCACTTTCTCGTTGCCATTACCGTACGGTGCCGTGTCCCTCTCCGTGACCTTCTCCCTGGCCCACGGATACCGTGCTCTGTCAACCCTGACGACCGTCCGTCGTCGTTGCCTGCGCCCGAGACAAGTTTGCCCAACGACTCATACTCACCTCCCTTGTCCACCGAACCCGTCATCCATCATCTGGCCGCTTTTTCGCCACTGGACCCCTCCCAGAATTTCGCACCCCCTTCCATACTTCATTCTTGCTACCTACACCACACATCCTTCCCTTTCCGCCCCCCCGCCGCCTCGAGCAAGCGCAGGTTTCACCACTCTCTAACTGTTTGCTCACACTCTCACTGGCGCGCCTGGCTCATTACTCATTCTCTTTGTTCCCCTGCCCTCAGTACCTGTTTTAAATATTCAGCTATCGCATCCACTTGCTGCTCTCAGCAGCTACAATCATCCATTCATATTCATGTTCACCCGCCATCACTAGCTTTTTCACTGCACCCTTCCTCTTCGCTTTCTCCGGCCATTCTCTGCGACGACAACATACTCGTTCCCTCCGTCAATCTCTTTTGCGGACGGTCGGTTCGGTTGTAGTGCTCAGCTTGGAGCCGCCGTGCCCAGCCCAGGTGGCCCTAGTGCCTAAACGCCTCTCCGCCCCTGATCGACTCAACAGCCCCCCCCCCAGCCGACTCTACACGTCTCCCTCCCCACCCTGGTCGGGACTCATTCTTTCTCACTCGATTAGACCATCACGAGGCGCTGAGGCAGAGTCACAGCGGCCTCCAATTCTCTGAGTCGCCATTTACAAAAACGCCTTCCATTACAGTCGCCGGAAACCCTCCCTTCCCAGGTTTGGGATATCACAATGTATCCTGTGGAAATCACTGTCGCCGAGTTTTCAGTCACCGCCACCACCCCAATCGCTTTTATTACTGTTGCAGCTGTTGATGAGTTTGGAGGTACTCTATCCTACATTTTTTAAAAGACAGAACTACCTCTTTGTCGATATATTCGTCAACAACTTTGGAACACGACGCAACAAGAAGAAAAAAAAAAAAAATTTACATCTTGGGAGATAGACGGTGACTGGGATTTCGTTCGGAGAAGAAAAGAAAAGAAAAGCGAAGAAACGACTCTCTTTCGTTTATTTTAATTTGGGGTTTTTTTTCTACTGGATTTTTTTCGGGGTGTTTTTTCCCGGTTTTCGGCTACGCGTCTTCATTGGGCATAGGGAATTTTCGGTTTTTTAGTTGGGCGCCTTTGGTTACATTGGTATTTCAATATTCGGATCGTTATTTGAGGGATTTGGGATTTCGCCTTTGAAGGAACAAGGGGATTCTGCTTTCGGACTTTTCATTTTTTTTCGGCTTACGAGGTTTTTCTACTACGCCTCGTTGAGTGTCACAATCGTCACCGGGCTCGCCTCTCCTCCGACGATATATTGCGAACACCAGCCACTCCAGCTGGCGTTCTCTCGTTGTCGCCACCCGCCTGACGTCGCCCGATCTATTTTTCGGGCTATCCTATATCTTATCATCATTTCGATACTTTCCTTAAGTACAGCTCCAGATAACCTCAAACACATCTAGTACTCTTGCCGGGATCGACCTACTTTCCTGAGATTGTCAGTATACATATACGACCTTGAAGACGGAATAAGGATTCAGAAATTCTACATCCCGGTGTCCCTTGAAAGGGAAACTTTGCAAAACTACTAATATTGCCCAGCAAATCTCCGCTCAATCTTTTTCTTTGAACCCTTAATTTTTCTCCCGCAATATGACCCTGGCACACACACCACCCACGGCAACAATTTCACGCTCTCGCTACCCCTATTCACCTGCACCCTCGCTAGCCTCACCAGCCTCATCTTCTCAATCCTCCGTTTGGTCTGTGGCGTCGGTAGTGTCGAACGCCACTTCCGTTGCCTCGTGTACTGCCACTAGCGGTACCTCAACTCCAGGCACGAATATTGTCCCCTCCATCAATATTCAGCGTCAATTTTCTGGCTCGGAGCAAGATGGTTGGCTTCTCCGAAAGAAAGCATCGGTCTCTAGCCTTCGGGCGTGTGATTCGGTCCAACACCCGCACCCGCCAGTTGCGGTTACTCAGGAACCCTTGCCCATAGAGCAGCGCCGGAACACCCGGAGAACCAATCGTTTGGTTGAAGGAGCCAATGCCGGATGTCCTGTATCTGAAGGCTGCCCGTTACCTCCCGTACCTACCCTGCAAAGGCAGGTTGATCGGAAGGTTAACTTCGTTGACAATCTCGTTGGTATGTTAAGCACTCGGCCGTGGATCCTTTTCGATGAGAGTTTATACGCAGGTACTAAGATTCATATTTTACTACGATAAAGACTCCGCAGCTCAGATTGTCGAGACAATATGGCCACCTCCGAAGATGCTCATTTGTGCAACCCCGAAGGATAAGGTTCTTCCATTACGGACATTCATTCAGGAAACCCTCCGAAGATCCCGGACCAGTTATTCAACACTGCAAGTGGCGCTCTACTATCTGATCGTTATCAGGCCTCATCTTCCCCCCCGGGATTGCGAAATCGGCAGTTTACCCGCTGAAGAGGCACAGATGACCCGTGCCAAGCAATGTGGGAGAAGGATGTTTTTGGCGGCTTTGATCTTGGCATCAAAGTACTTACAAGATCGTAACTATTCCGCAAGGGCTTGGAGCAAGATTTCAGGGCTGAACACCCAGGAGATAAACATCAATGAAATGGCATTCCTAGACGCTGTCAACTGGCGGCTTCATATATCGGAAACCAATTTCCAGAAGTGGACTGATCTGGTATTGAAGTACACATCGGATCACAATCCATCGTCGGTATCCGCTGCCCGGGCCAACCCATGGGTTGATGAAGAAGAGCGGAAGAGGGAGTGGTGTGATTTGGTCTTGAAGCTTTCGCCGGATTTGAATGAGGCAGAGTTATTGGCGTCTGGGGGATTAACACCATGCGCGGTAGATGCAGACATAGTCGCGTCTACTTCGCCGCTTGCTATTGAACCCTTTGTACCTGCAGCTCCTGTCCAACAGACTCCGGCAGCACCCGTGGCCGCCCAGCCCGTTGCAACACCTGCACCCCGAGCTGCTGAGCGCCTTCAAACGTCACACCCGCATGCTTTCAAAGCACTTCATCAACCACTCCCGAAGGCGCCTACTTTTCGCCGTTCATCTTCGTCGTCACAACTACTCTCTGGAACGGTGACCCCTGCAGCGGGAATCCGTTCTGGTCGGCCAGAAGCGACGTCTACATCCCAGTATTCTGCCATGGCTTCCGTAGCCAAGGTCGCCGAAAGCGCCGCAATATCCGGAGTTACAATGGAGAAGTTTCCGTTCGCACTGAGAAGAGGATCTGATGTGCCACCTCCGTCTCAGGGTGGCTGCATCCGTAGCTCGTCCTTGTCCACATCGATGTCAATACCTGGTCCCTCAAGCTCGCCAGCATTCCCGAAGGCTAAGCAGGGTTGTGAGCTGGGCAAGCTGGGCTTCGCTACCTTTGTCCCCCTTTCGCCCTGTTCCGTTGCCTCATCGGTCAAAAATATTTGCACTAGCCCCTGGAAAACCGGTGATCATCGTATGGCTTCATGTGTATCGCCCAAATCAAGAGAAGCGGCATTGAGTCTGAACTTGCTCAAGGAGACTTATTCCCCATGTTCAAGCGGTTCAACCACTCCCACTGGATTGTCGAGGAAGAGGAGTTACCCCGAAAGTGCGATGGAAGGCCGTCCAGCAAGTGCGCTAAGAATAGAGGCCAATATTCATGGATATGCAGCAGACGGAACTACCAGCGTGACTCCAAAGTTCAAGTCACTTAATAGTGGATTTCGCTCACCGTCTCTAGTATATGGTTCTCCAACCAGAAGCCCTGCACCTGATAGGAAAGGCAAGAGATTAAGGTGCGCCCCAGAGAAGAAAATGGGAGGAATGAGTATGGTGGGAGGAATGTCGGTGGCACAGAATGTGCGATAGGCACAGGGGTATTCGGTTCACTTTCGTGTAAACATTATTGTGTGCGACCTTTTTTCCTATCTTTTGAATTCTCTGGCTATCCGTTATGGGGGTATTCTGATTTTATGGACTTCTGTTCCCTTTCGAAACTTGTCAAGAGAGGCAAAATACGGTGTTCTGGCTTTTTTTTTCTTCTCGCTCTTCCTTTTTCCACTTTTTGTTTCCATCAGGCTCTGTTCAATTCTTTCCTTATCCCACCGCGCCTTTTTTTATTATTTTTACACAGCAGATAACCAGTCAATCGCTTATTATTTCTGACCAACTGGATCAAGCAGATTTCCTTTTATATAACATCTGCGTTCAAAGTCTTTCTAGCAAGCAGAGGAGAGGTGCGAGAAAGGAGAGGAAGGTTGTTTTTGTACGGACATTTATTTGTTATATGCTCTAACAAAACGAGGGACGGTTTTCAAGTATTCTGGGACTCGATATTCGGACATTGTGATTGAGTGACTGAGTGATATTGGTAGACCTTTTTTTGCTAAGTATGCTCATTTTTTCGCATCCTCCCTTCTTTCAGCGGACGAATCACTTTTTATTTTGTTTTTGGGAACGGTGGGTTTGTTTGGGTCAAGGGCTCGCTAATCCCCTTCCCCACTGAGTTGCGGCGGTCGAAACCAACCAACCAACCCCGCTCCCCTCTTGAATAACAAATTTACCCTGGTGTGATTCTTGCCCGTGGCCTTTGATATCCACATCACACACGCGGGTGGAAACCCGGGCGAAGCTAAGCTAATCACCTCTAACCCGGATATGATAGCGGTGACTATCCCCCGTCGTCGCATCACAACTAATCACTCGTGAAGCTACCTGGAGCCTCCTCCGTAGGGGGAACTACGCTAATATATGAAATAAGTTTTAAACATACCCCCCCGTAATCTAGAGTTCTCGGGACTCTTTCACAGTAGTCTACGATTTGGATATGTTTCTTCTACCAGATGGGGGGGGAACTTACCACTCTTTCACAGGAGCAGGGGTGCGTGCGGTTCTGAGAAATGAGTCATTGATCATGGCATATGCTTGTGCTTCCCGTTTTGGGCTTGTGGGTGGGTGTGGGTGGGTGAGTCAGTGAGTCAATGCTAATAGCGGCACCGGTATCATACCGTGCTCGAGTATGTGGATGCATCGTTTGGCATAGTGCTTGCTTGCTGTGCTGTGCTGTGCGGTGCGGTGGCGGGTTGGGGGGGGGGGGGGGGGGGGGATGATGTGAGTTGTATGGCTAATTGGCTGGTTGTGGGCGGTGGGTGTGTGGGCGATCTGCGGATGGT